CGTTGGCCATTCACATACCTTCTCTGGAGGAATGTCTATTTAAATCTTTTGTCCATTTTTTAGTTGGCTTATTTCCCTTTTTATTGTTGAACTGTAAGAGTTGTTGGTTTTTTAATATATATTCTGCATACAAGTTTCTTTTCAACTCCTCTTGGACTTTAAGAGATGTCTACATCAAAGTCAGAGCAGGGGTTGCCGTTTTAGCAGTCTGTAGAATTCATTGCAAGGTGATGAAAACCTTGCAAAAACTGCATCTGTCTCATGCTGCCGAGGGTTCCTGCAGGGCCAGACCCTGGAGGGGAAGGATGCAGAGCTGTCTTTTCCTGGAGTTTGCTCCCTGCTCAGTTACACCCCCTTTCAAATTCTCAGCTGAAAAGGAGAAAAACTTAGTTGTAATGGGCTGGGAGGGAAGAGAGCAGGTTGGTTGGTGTAGTGAAGGCAAAATCCTAAAAAGGGAGGATTTTTCTTTCTTTCCTTTTTAAGTTGCATTGGCTTTTATTTCCTGGGCAAATCAGATGGCACAGAGAAAAGCATTATGGAATTATAAAGGATATGCAAATGTAAGGTGATATTCATATTGTCCTTAGGATGAAATCACAGAGCCTGTGGGGGTGGCTGGGGAGGGGTTGGGGAGCTGGGAGATGACAAGGCAAGGAGACAGGAGCGTAGCAGAGTTTGTAAACCTTAGTTCTCTGTGTGTATTTATGTGTGAGAAAGAGAGAGACTTTCATGATGTCTGGTGTGTCCCTTTACTACCTGTATAATAATTTACTTAGTATCTTTCTTTGAATGGGCTCCTACTACTTTTAATTAGATATGTTTAATAAGAAACTTTATATCACATATCATAAATGGCAAACCTGCATCATTTTCAGAATGGAAGCTATCAGATAAACAGATAATAAAAACCAAACAGTGTTCCTAAATTCCAGCTGACTCTGTCATCATCTGGACCTAGAAAACTGCCCCTGACTTCTTAGGCTGGCTCCCCTCTCCCACGACTCAGGTGGCTGCTCCAGCAGTATCCTCTCAGGAAGGCTGTGGTGGCCACTTGCCTGCTTTCTCTCTGCCGCAGCACATACAGCCAAGGGATGTGGGGCACGTGTGTGTGTCTGGCTCCATGAAGGCAGGGTGTTGCATCTCCGTCCCCACCACCCAGCTCAGTAAATAGTAGTCGAGTCAGTAGCTACCAGCTCTGAGCTGCATGGCAGTTCTCTCCTTTGTTTTTTTCTCCTTTTAACAAGTTCAGCAAGTGTTAAAGTCATAACCAGCCTGAGCCAAGCTGCCGCTTGCACCTTGATGTAATCAAGAGGACTGAGCAAGCTGGGAGTAGAAAGGGGCCTCCTGGATGTGATCCCCGGGTCACCTGGCTTCCCAGAGTTTCCCACCCCATAAGTAGGGACCTCCTGGATCTGCAGCCTGCTCACTTACCTGCTGAGTGGCCCGACCGGCATCACCTCACCTCACCAGCTTCTGCCTTCCCCAGGGCAAAGGAATGAGGGTGCCCACCCGACCTCACAGAGCTCCAGGAGCCTGAATGCAGTGTGGACACACCTAGAAGACAGAAGTTGATCAATTAATAATGGTAGAAACTCTGGCTTGGCACCATTGCATAGTGGTTACAGCACCAGCCACATGTACCGAGGGTGGAGGGTTCAAACATGGCCCTGGCCTGCTAAACAACAATGACAGTCGGCTGCTAAGCAGGACAGGCAGCGGCAGCAAAAACACCCAGCAGGCCAGATAAATGTCCTAGGCGGGCTGCATGTGGCCCTTGGGCCGTAGTTTGAGGACACCTGGTTTAGCAGATAATGAGATTTAATTACTGACTTTGCCTAGAAAGTCCTATCCTTTCTTCTAGGCTCATCCATTAAAAGTATTATTATCCTTTACTGAAATCTCAGTAATATACCAGGTCTCACTAAATAAGAGCTTAAATACATCATTTTATTTTATCCTTGCAATAATTATAAAATGTGGATTTATTATTCCCATTTTACAGATTAGAGAACTGTGGCTCAGAGTCATTTTATGACTTGTTCGAGGTGATGCAGCGAGAAGTGACATGGCCAGGCCTTTAATAATTCAGGGCCCATACTCTTAACTGCCACATTACACAATCCCTTCAATGCCACCACCTCGGTGAAGACTTGCTGTCCAGCCATTCCTCTTCTAAATATTCATAACTCTGGGCCATTATCTGTCTGCGACATCTGCCTCCATTGCCCTTGGGGTGTGTGGGGGGAGCATTCATTTCTTGAGGGCTGAGATCACAGTTAGTCATCTCTCCCTCACCTGTCCCCAGCCAGGCTGACTGTCCCCCAGCCAGGCTGAGGCCCTGGTGCATTGTAGATACTCTACTTCTGTCTGTTGAGTAAATGAAGAAGTGAGGGCTCTGGATTTTCTTTTGCCAGGTTCTACCTCTATGGAGGACAGACACGGAAAGAGTGAGCAGTTGCACTTCCAGAGGTATGAGTTAGCTCCATCAGAAAGCCGCTGGGATGCTTACCCAGGAGGGCACACGGAAGGCCCTGTCCTAGAATAAGATCAGCCCCAGCCCGACAGATGAGTGTGGGTGTGCAGACGGTCCTGGAGGCAGGGCGGGGGTGATGGCTTCTGGAGGACCCTCCTGGCCTGTGACACTGATGGCTGTGATAGACATCGTCCCTGACTTTGCAGATTCACTGTCTATCCCACTCACCTGCTTTCTGCCCCTGCAGAAGATCAGAGAAAGAAGAAAGAATGATGCTTGGTTAATTCTTCCAGGTGCCATTGGACCAGGGCTGGGAGCAGCTCTGTTGTCACTAGCCCCAGATTCTGTACTGTCCTGGTGGTTTCCCTACACACACACACACCCCCTTTGTGGAGAGCTCCTTTGTTAGATCTCTTCCCATTACCCTGATTTAAATGTGCCCTTTGTTCCCGCAGGGACCCTGAGTGATGGGGTGGAATGCTCTTTCTGTGTTTGCGGGGATATTTCCTGAGGCCAGGGTCTATGCTTATTCATTTCAGTGTCCCCACGCCTGGCACAATCCTCAGGCTGTCGTTCTGATGACTAACATTTAATAAGCATTTACTAGGTGGCAGGCATCGATACCTGGACTTATTAATCCTCACAACAATCCCTTGATTATCATCCCTGCTTTACAGATGAGAAAACTAAGACACACAGAGGTTAAGTAGCTCACCCATGTCACATGGTCAGCAATGGTCAGATCTGGGATTCAAACCCAAGCAGTGTGACCCTTAACCCTCCCTGCCAGTGGACTGCCTTTCTGTTTGTTGTTTGGGGAATGAAAGGAACCTGCTTCTTCGCCAACTCCAGGGCGCTGGCAGACTGGTGGAATGTAGGTTACCGTGGCAACAGGGTCAATAGGTTGCCCCACCTGGTGAGCCCTGGGGGCAGAGGTTCTACTGGCTAGCAGAGAGACAGGAGTGGGGTCATGGGCCAGTGTCTGAGGTACCAGATGCATTGGGAGGACTTGGAAGAGTACCAGGTGGGTAGGTCAGGCAAGAGATTCTGGGCAGAGGAGGGAGCTCCCTGAGGCAGGTGGGATGAATAAGGAAACTTACCTGCAGCTCTATTCTTTACTAGGGGGGAAAGTGGTGGCCTTGCCTTTACTAAGCTTGAATCCATGTGGCCTGGACTAGTCCCTGAGGCCAGCTACCTTCCCCCATCTGTCTCCTGCTCCAGATCCCAGGGGTTTAGTCTTGTCTCAGATCTCCTCTCGAGGTCTGTGCCAACACCCTCCATCCCGGGGCCATCAGAGACTGGGAGAAGGAAGGGCACTATTTCTTCCTCTGCTGCTACCTTGGGTGCTCTCCATCTAGGGCTGGGGTTCCTCCATTGTCCGACCTGAGGAAGGCAAGGACAGGCTTTTCCTCCACAGGGGACTAGGGCAGGGCTGGATTGAGTGGACAGGTCCCTTCTGTGTGATCCGTTGCAGGCCCTGACTTTCCTGACCAGAAATGAAATTCTGTGGTGAGTAGAGGGCCCCACCCCCCACTCTGTTTCTCTGCTCCCTCCCCCTGGGTAGAGGGAGCTGGGTTCTTGCCCTGCTCAGCGTCATGTGGGTCCCTGCTCAGAGCCACACAGCTCTGGAGATTAGGCTGGGACAGGCAGGCAGGGAGGGAACCCAGGCGGGGAGGACCCTGGGCCTAGGGCCCCACTGGAGTTGAATGAAGCATCAAGCTTTGGCCGGTGGTCTCTTTACTGGATCCAAGGCAGGGCTTCTTCATAGGATCATAGAGCTGGACAGAGCTTCCTTGGGATGATGAGGGAAACTCCGGGCTGAAGCCCTGTTTGGTTGTTCAGCGTCTGGTAAACTTGGATGCATCACTAGGCTCAGCCGTCCCCAGCCTCTCTCCAGTGTCTGCTGTGTGCCAGACCCCATGGAGGTGTGAGGGGGGCTCTCCCAGTTCCTGGCATCACACGTCCCTGTCTCATGAGGAAGATTCCTGGCCACAGACAATCCCACAAATGGAGACAGCAGGTGCCACACGTACCTTCCTCATGGGGCAGTGAAGAGAGTGAACAGTGTGAAAGATGTGTGTGTGCTTGGCCCAAGCCAGGCGCTCAACACAAACCTGTGAGGTTGGATAAATGAGCTCACCGAGACACTTTGGGGTCAGGGTAGGGGGAAGGCTTGGAGTGCGGAGGCCCGTTAGCTCCTCTGGCCTGGGCCCTTTTCCTCTCTTCTCATTGCCCTGCTTGGACTCACCCTCCCTGGGTTCCATGTCCCACCTGGAAGCCACATTTCCCCACTTGGGGTCTCAGGGCAGGTGATGACTTGGTGACAAGCATGAGTCTCTCCAGGTATAAATGGGGACAAGGGATGGTCAAGGTACAGATAGCTACAGAAGCCAGGGATAGTCACCGGGTTACATTATTTCCCTTTTAAAAATAATATTCACTCACTTTTTTAAATATAGAAAAATATGACAAAACTCCAAATGACCCATATCCTGTTACCCCATTGCTATTTTCTAAAAAGTAACACAAGAATAAAAATAAAATAAAATCTAAAAATGTAGTATGTGAGCATGGCTAGAAAATTCAAATAGTCTAAAAGTTCTAAGTGAAAAGTGAATGTCTCCGTTCCCTCTTCCCAGCCCTCGTCCCTGAAGGCGGCCTCTGTTCCCTGGTAGTTTATCATCTAGCCTTCCAGAACAATCTCCCATGCACAGACCTACCTAGGTCTCCTCCTATAGTTTTACTCCATCCACACTGGAGCATGTTCCATTCAACTGTTCTGCATCATTTTTATTCATTTGTTTACGTTTTTAATCTCAGTTAGTTTTGCATAAAGCATGCAGAGATCCACCTCATTCTTTGCTAAGGGCTGTGCAGTATTCCCTGGTGTGGATGAACCATAATTCATTTTACCAGCTCCCTGTTATGGACACTTAAGTTGTTTATGGTTTTCATCTTTACAAATAATGCTATATTAAATATTTATATACACAGAGCTCACCCAACAGGTGAGAGTAAATCCATTGGAGAAATTTCTAGCTATAGAAATGCTGGACAAAGGGGTAGGTGCATCCAGAATGTTGAGAGGTTTGACCATATCGTCCTTCAAGGAGGTGCACCAGTGTATACTCTCAGCAATGGAGCAGGGCCACGCCTGCTCCCCTTCCATCTTAGGGGCCTCAAATGGCCTCCTTCAGGTCTTGGGACTCTCTATATATGCCAGGAGTGAGTTTGGTGGGGCTGGGGAGTTCAGAGGGGAGAGAGGAGGATGGGAGAGGCTCAGGCTTTCTCTCTTGAGCACAGGCAGTCATTGTCATTTGTGCCATGTTGGCCTTCTGAGAAAGGGAAGCAAGCCAAGCTCAGGGACTTCCCCTTCTAAACAGCCTCCTAAGCCCTGAGACAGTCTCTGGCCAGATGCTGTTTGCAGCCTGTTTCCCTCCCCATTGAAGGGGCATTCTGCTCAGAAGAGGGCAGCTTGATCCATCTCTCCCTGGGGAGGCAGGGCCTGTCCAGCCTGCAGGGAAGCTCCCACTTCAGAGGGAACTTCCTCTCAAAGATCTTCCTGGCTCACACCTTCTCCTGACAGCTCCATTCCTGCCCCTGGGGAGCTCCTGTCCTGGGGAGCTCCTACCCTTTGGGGCCTGAAGAACAGCGATGGGTCTATGCTGGGTGGAGGTGTAGGGATGCCTTGCAGAGTGACAGGAAGGCAGAGTGGAGGTGAAGGGCTTGGGTCCTACTCTGCCGTTTTTTCTCCATGTGGACAACTGTCAATGAGACAGAGAAAGGCAAGCATGGTGGGGTGGGGGGTTATCAGTATTAGGGTGACACCAGCGAGAGCTCTCTGTGGCTTCAAACCAAGGTGAGTCTCTAGAGCCAGGAGACCACACCCTGGGGAATGGCCAAGGATGTGGAACAGCTGTCAAAGCTTTGAAGAATGGAGAGCAAAGGCTACAGATGCTAAAATGTCCCAGTTCAAAGTGGGAAAGGACACTTTGACCTGGCCAGTCCACTTCCATCAAGAGGACACTGGTGAAATAAATGCAACACATCTGTCAGTGGGACACTGCCCTTACAGAGAGGGAGGAAGAGGAGCTTTGTGTTTGTCATGGAGTCATCACCAAGGCATATTATTAAGTTAAGAAGCAGAGTGCCAGGGGCTCCCAGTTAACGTGGAGATCAGAGCATCTTCTTTTATCTCTGTTACCTTTACTAAAAAAAGAGCAAAGGCCTTTTTTTTTTTTAAAGAAGAAAGAAACCCATAAGGACAAAAAGAACACAAGCAGTGGCAGCAGATGAGAGAGGTCAAGAAAAATTTCCAAAGTGCAAAGCAGATAGAGCCGTGGTCCAGACTTAGCAGAGCAGGAAGCTGATAGAAACCCACCTGCAGGAGGTGGATGATGGAGCCAAGAATCCAGAGAGTCTCAGGAACCTCTGAGTGCAGGATGCAGGGTCAGGGGAAAACAGAAAGTTAGACCGAAAGTCTCGTGTGATGCCTTCTCTCTCCCTGCCGTCCACTGGGCACCCCTGCCCACTCCAGAGGAGGCCAGGAGCTGACCATCTGGACTACCAGGCACAATTGGAGAGCTGGGTGAGCTCCTGGCCAGCACTTTAGATTCTCCCTGTAAGTATGAATCGAAAGGCAAAGGACACCAGGTATTTGAGGAAAGAATAAAGAAACAGCCCTATCTATAGTCAGTCATCACAATATTTCTGAATGCCAGAGATAATGAGAAGATCCCAAAAGCTTTTGCAGAGAAAAAAATCAGACT